GAAGTTGATGTGCAGTTAATAAGTGCAATAAATATTTATACTGGAAAAGAAAATCGTGAGAGAATCGTGATTCTCATGTTATGCAAAATCGTGCAGCCCTAGGTGGAGGACATTTTCCCCCCCTCGTCTTTTCTCATTAGTTTTGCATTTGGATCATATCAGTGTTACTACTGGCAGCACGAGGTGATACCTGGACTCCAGCACAGGTAGTCAAACTCCTCCAGGCACATCAGAATGTGCCATGACTGGAGGATTTGTTGTGTTTCTCACCGTAGTCTCAAGATTACTCACAGTACTCAGTCCAAATCAATATCCAGCGTGTCGCCATTGAGATCTGATGAGGTTTGAACGTGTCCCTTTAGTTTTGGGATGTTTTTTGAGCAGTGTAATAGTGTAATATTAATTATCATGATTGTGAGAATATTATTTTAGAGGATTAATAATTGCAGTGCACTGCAAAATACAGACAAATGCTAAAAATCCTGCTGGCTTTAAAACTGTGAGTTTTCAGAATAGGCTCATGTGTGGTGAAATCCCCTCCATCCTTTATCTCCTCAAACCCCAAAAAGATGAACATGTTCGATTATTCATGACACTAGAAGTTCAGCTGTGAGGATGTGGGTTGATTCTCATTCTCCACACAAAAGTTTGTGCTGGGAAAACAGCAGACGTACGAATCTCACAGACAACTTGACAACAGACATTAGTTTTGAGGATTTATAGAATATTAAAACCCGGTCACAAAAAGTTCGAGTTTGAATGATTCATACTTTAGGTCAGTTGTTAGCTTAGTGCTTGTAAACCTCTCACCACCCTTTTTTTGATGATCAATTCATAGTAATGCTAATGTGGTCTCGCCACTTGCTGTGGACCAGCGAGTGCGCTTTTCTTCAACTGTATTGTTAAAACTCTTTCTCGGGCTGCCTGTCGCAGTTTCTGTTTTCTATCAGTGGCACTTGGAGATTGTTGCCGGCCCTTCACTTTGTGTCTCTGTCAGCCTGTTCACCACCACCCCACTCTCATCTGCATAATTAATCAGCACTAATCACCAGGTGAGGTTGTTATAAACAGCATTCACCCCGGGTTCACAAAGACCGTCAGTCACAGAAGCTGCTGACAGTTGCTGTGAGTTTATTGAACAGAGAGTTTGAGGAAAAGTGCTTTATTTTGGGATCAGACTGTGTGCTGTGTTTCGAGAAAACTACCAGCCTTCCAGGAACAAACTCCTCTGACCTCTTTGCCCCAATGACTGAGGGTCATCTGTTTGCAACGTGGAGGGAGTGGCCTCAGTGTAATGGTAAGACAGCACACTGAGCCAAGATTAAATGAGGAAAGCACTCTGTTGGTGCCTCTTCACAAAGCCTCGTTAATAGATCTCTGACGTTCAGTGACAGTTTGCTAATCCCTTATTGTTGCGAGCAGCTCTTAGTATCGTCTGCCCTCTCAGCCAGTAGGTCTCTGGGTTCTAACCAATCAGAACTTTGTGATTTGATTTCATCTGTAGGATTATCTGAGCAATAACCAATCAGTGGCCCTGTTTTCCCCGTCTTCCTTCTCACTGAGCTGCCTATGGTTGTTTTGTCTGACTAGAGATTATATAGGATCCTGCTTCACTCCGGCCATGACACCAGATCTAGTCACTACAGCTGCCTGGACTAATGTGATGGGTTTCTGTAAACCTGAGCCAGACGGTATCTTGGAGGTAGTGAAATTAAGAATCTTCTGCAGTCGTGTTGATATTTGCTGTGTCGGAGTTATGACTGAACAGAAACAGCGCCCTTACTGTTGCAGAGGTGTTACTTTTAAGATAAAGAGAGGTCATGGTGAGCAAACCTAATCAGAGCCTGTTTGTTGTTTTTGGTCAGCTGTTAAATGCTTCCACTCTCCGCTGTGCACAGATGGGTGAGTGTCTGCTGTTTGTGGTCAGAGCTGCTTACCAATTACACTGTAATGTTTACTGCTCTGCGGATAGGACTTAATAAGAAATATAAACCGATGGTTGAAATATTTAAGTTGATTGTAATGATTAACTTCCTGTTTATGAGACATTACATTAATAACTACCTGCAAAGTAAATGGTGTACTGTACTGAAAATATAAAACACTTTAGTAACAAAGTGGTTGTGCTGTTACATGGATATTTATTGTACCCAGAGGATGCATCCACAAAACATGAATATTTAACTCCTGTGCTATTCTGAGGCTGATGCTGCAG